CTGGGGATGCTTTTTTTTTTTTTTTTTTTTTTTTTTCGCCTATCGATTATTTTTTTTTTTTCCCGGATAATTAATTATTTTATTTTAAAAAATAATAATAATAAATTACAAGAAACCATAATTATTAATATATTTTGTTTTGGTTTTTAATTATTTTAATAATATATTATTTGTTTATTCATATTAAAATAATTTTTTAATTATTTTTTTTCAATTTTTATTAAATTTGTTTGTTTTAAATTGTTTTTTTAATTTTTAATACCTTCAAATATTTATTCTTTTTTTTTTTATAACTATATTCATTCAAAATATTTATTTTTCTATTTATTTTTATAGAGTTTTCATTTGTTGGTGTAAATTGAATATAGAATTCAAAAAAAAAAACTTTAAAAGAAATATAGAAAGAATATATTATCAATATCCAATTTACAAATAATTATAAAAAATATTTTTATAATAGAAAATGGGGGAAATTATCGAAAATTTTAAAAAATACACAAATATCAAATTATTATATTTTTTTCAGTTTGCATCTTTATCATGCTTTCAACCATTTATTAGTGTTTATTTATATCATTTCAAATCGATCCAACCTTCAATTATTGGAATAATCACATGTTTAATTCCATTTATATCATTTATTGCCTCGCCGGTATGGACTTGGGTGACAGATTATTTTCAATGTCCAAAAAAAATTATTATTTTAAATAGCATACTTTCAACTATATGTTTGCTTTTATTAATTCCAATTGGGGATAATTTAATTGGTATCTTTTTATTAATCAGCTCATATAGTTTCATATCATCACCCATTTGTCCAATAGTAGATAGCTTAGTATTAAAACAATTAGGTTCAGACTCTAAACTATATGGTATGCAAAGGTTATTTGGTGCAATTAGTTACGGTGCCGTTGCTATTTCAACTGGTTTCATCATTCAAAAGTATGGTCTCAAATATTTATTTATCATCTATGGTATATGGATGGCTGTTTTTTTGGTATATTATATTTTTAATCAAACAGAAAAAGGTTCTAAATTCAAAAAATCAATGTCAGGTCAATCCCTTTCAAGTTTTAAGAAATTAGTAAATGAAAAATTAATAGAGCTCGAAGAAAGACAACAAACCGAATTAGATAAAGAAAACGAAACTAAACCAAATATTCAAGCAATTGTAGAAAAAGAAAAACAATTATTTAATAGTGCAAGTAGTTTAGGTAGTATGGTTTCAAACAACTCTTTTGAACACTTAGACTCAAGCGGTTGCTCATCCATGTCAACTACACCACCAGTTACTTTGAAAAGAAATTCAAATATTATTTCATCCAATGATATCATTGTATCGAATGAAAAAGAAAATGAAATTATAAAAAATAATTGTAATAACAGCAAATCCCAAACAGATTTATTAGATCAAGAAATAAATTATGAAATTAATAGTTTAGTTTCATCAAATAACAACTCAATACAAGATTTTAATGAACACATAAATAATAATAGCAAAAATAACATCAATGATAATAATAATATTTCAAGTCATGAATTTGATGAAGAAGGTTTATCATCCAAACAAATTTCAAACCAACCTATTCTAGTTAAAGATGGTGCAGATTATGCCATTTGTGAAACAGAAATTCCAATTCAAGACGATATTCAATTCGAAAGAGCATCTCTTAAACAAGCCTTACTAGATCTACTCAAGAATACCCAAATGATAATATTTTTATTAGCTTGTGTTATATGTGGAATGACCGCTAATATAATAAGCAACTTTTTATTTTTATTCCTTCAAGATCAAAAACATGCAAGTGTTGCCCTCTGTTCTACATCTTTACCCTTCACAATTTTAATGGAACTTCCATTTTTCTTTTTTGGTAAAGATCTTTTAAACAAACTTGGTGAAACCAAATTAATTATTGTAGGTCACTCTGCATTTATTATAAGACTATGTCTCTATAATATAATTGCTATCGATTCCGTTTCACCTTGGTTTGTTTTACCAATAGAAACATTACATGGAATTGCCTTTGCCTCAATTTGGGTTGCTGGTGTCGAATATTCAAATAAAATGTCTCCAAAGGGTTACGAAACTACCTATCAAGGTGTATTCAGCGGTGTTTATGGTGGCTTTGGTTCCGGTCTTGGCTCGATTGTTGGTGGCTTCCTCTATGAGCATATGTCTCCAATGTATTTATTTAGATTTACCGCAATTTTAACAACTATCAGTTTAATTTCATTTTCATTAAGTCAAATTTATTTTTCAAAAAAAAATAATAACAATATCATCAATAATAATGATGATGATAACCATATAAACTTAGACAGTTTGGTCTCAGTCAATTAAAAAATTATAATATAGAAATTTTTTTTTTTTTTTTCAAACTTAGGTCAAAAAAAAATTTTATTCAAAACTTAAAAAAAACCTTTCAAATTTTTTTTTTTTTTTTTTTAATTAAGTATATCAAATTTTTTTTTTTTTTTTTGATAAAAAATTAGAATGACAATTTTTTGGTTTTATTTAATTTAGGTGATTTATTTTTAAATCAAAATATTTTCCTTAGAAATATATATTGGAAATAAAAATTGAAATAAAAAATAAAAAATTGAATGAAGTGATTTAAAAAAAAAAAAAATTAAAAAAAAAAAAAAAAATTAAAATTTTTTTTTTAAGTTTTTTTTTTTTTAAGTTGTTACAAAAAATTTTTTTTATTTTTTTATTTTTTTTAAAATTTATAATTAAATTAACAAACTTAAATATTTATTTATTTGTTTCATAGTATATATCAAGAATATAAATATTTATTTATAATATAATTCATTTCTTTAAAATATTTTTTTTTTTCCAAATTTTGAAGAAATAAAACATAATAAATAAAATAAAATTTTTTAAAACTTACATTTTATTATTTATTCAATTAATTATATCGTAAATAATGGGACACTTAAAACCAGAGAGTCTATTAGAAACTATAATATACCCTCCATCAAATATTTTTTCTAAAAAATATTCAAAAGGAGTTATATGTGAATTTACACCTATACAGGAACCACCACAGCCTGAGTCAAAAATAATTACAGTTTCAAAGATTATTAAAAGTGTCAAAAAGAATAAACAGGTTTCAATAATTAGTTTGCAGGGTTTACTCGAAGGAGTTAATGACCAAGATGTACAAGATTTTAAAAATATTGATTTTTTTAAAATTAACCCTGTATTTTATGATGGTGATGCAATACTTTATTTATTTTTTAAATTATGGTATGTATTTAACACGATTTTAATTATAACTTATTTCTAATTTTTTTTTTTAATATTATAAAGTACAAATAAAAAAATTGGAACCGATTATTTGGGTGAATTGTGGGACTTATTTAAGGGAAATGAAACATTTCAAAAGTTTTTTTATAAATTAACCTTTTATCAAGATTATAAAGGGTTAATAATCAATTTTATTATTCTCTTAAAGAATACAGAGGTAGAGGAAAAAGATAACTTTGCATTTTTGTACCACTTGGGTCTTATGGAGGTTAGTCTTACTGGTGAAATTGGTTATTTAAAAAAATTACAAAATTTTATAATGGATCAAGATTTAATTTTAGCAGCAGAACAATTGGACTGCAATTTTTTCAACTCATTTGAAGATGACCAATTAAAAGTAGTCTTTGACAAGTTATTCACCGAAAAGACATTGGATGATTCTCCCAAGATTTTTAAATTTTTTAAATTTGTCATAAAAAGTTTTCAAAATATTAATAGATTAAAAGTTCTCTTAAAGGATGTGGTTTTGTTCTATCTTAGTTTGAAAATAGAAACATTTCAAAACAACCTATATATAAATAGAGCTGAAATATCGTTTTACCTTTATAGTAAAGGTATAGAATGTGCTCCACAATATCTTGCACACTATTTGAAGGAGAGTCCATTAGAATATTTCACCTCAATGGATATGATTCTCGGTAATAATATAGGTATGGCTAAACACATTTTCAATTTAATAGAAAAAGTATTAAGACCAAGTCATCCTTCACTCATAAAATTAATTAAATACTACAAAGCAATTCCATTTCCATGGGATGTTATAATAAGATCATTTTCAGTTAGAGATAGAATTAAAGTTTTTATAGAGTACAAAGATGAAGAGGTTATTAAAAGGCTAGTAATTGGTGGATCAAAAACATTGGAATGCCTTCAAATTTCACTTTATACAAAACTAAATGACTCAACATTGAACAAAAAGGTAATTATACTTTTTTTTTTTTTTTTTTATATTTTTCATATTAATTTTTTTTTTTTTAGGTCTATGTTGATATGGAACCTAAAGAATTTTTTGATGCAATTTCAAATATAGAATTAAAATATCAAAATGATAATCCAAAAGAAAAATTCAATACAAGTGAATATACAAATTATACTTGGACATTATTAGAGGTTATTAAATCTATAGTATCAAAAGATAAAGGTACAGAAGTATGCACCAAATATTTAAATTTAATCGAATTTAAAGAAACTTTACCAAACATTTTATTAGCCAGAGAAATTATTAGAAATTATCATCCTGGCATACTTGCAGTAAATTTTGAAAAGTTTACCATGCTTGGTCAATTTTATAGTCATGTTGATAGTTCAAATTTACATTGGGGTAATTTTAGAAAGGATTTATCATCATCAATAGAAAGATACTTTGAAAGTTTGGTACAAAACTATATAAATATTAAAAGAGAATATAATGAAAATCGTAGAGATGAATTTAAAACCCTCACAGATACAATTCTAGCATGGAAGAAATTTGGTATTCCAGGCCAGTGCGACGGTGTTAAGGAGTTCTCTGTATTCTACCAAAAGTTAGAAAAAAAGAATCAAGAGTTTAGCTTGCTCTATAGCTTTAAGGAGATCCTTGAGAGAAAGTTTTCGTTTAGTTTTAGCAATGCAGCAATAAAGAACTGGTCAATAACTAAAAGAACCAAGAATTTAAGAAATCTAATATTATCATCAAGTAGCCAGTCTGGTCATTTTTTAAAAAAACAACAAACCATCAAATTTTTAACATATTTCGAAGTTCAAAACAAAACATTATTTTTTCCAGTTGTTTTTGAGCATTATTTAAAAGAGTATCCTCAAAACTTGGATATAGTCGCCCAAAAAACTTCAGAGTTTTTAGAAAGACTTATCAAATCTGATTCATCGATGCAATTAAATGTTATCTTTGAAAGTATTACCAAATTACCAGAGATTAATTATACCAAAGAAATTCCAACTATTTTTAAGTATTTCTTGCCAGATCAAGAGTACAACCCTGAAATCGAAAGGAGTATTCAAAACTTCATTGATAATGCTATATTTATTTATGGTGTTAGGGCTCATTTCCCAACGATTGAAACTTTTATGTCAAATTTAAAGTTTTTAAAAATAGAAGATTTTATAGAGAAGCGTAAGATGTGTGAAGATATCATTAATTTGGTTTTTAAAGAGACACCAACAATTGCTGAAGCCAATAGTAAACTTGAAGAATTAAAGAAACTCATTTGTATCAGTAAACTCCAATTCGAATTCTTTGATCTTCAACTCAAAGATTTAATGGAATGGTTCTCAACATTTGTTGATTTGGATAGCTTTACCATTCAGTCTGAGAGTTCATCACAAAAATTCTCTGATGCTTTTAGTTCACAAATTATCAATTACACAATCTTTTGTAGACACCAACTTGAAGAATTTATAGAATACAATAATGCATACATCGATAATAACGAAAAAAGAAAATCTATAACTTTTCAACAGTTTTTTGAAAAAATTAATAAAATTATTCCAGTCGAAAATTTTGCAAGTTCAAAAGTTGCTTTCAATAATACAATTAATATGCTACCAAATGTAAAAGCTCTCTTTAGATCTGGTGATGTAACTGAAAAAGGTGTAATAGAAAACTCAAAGACAATCCTCAGTTTCGGTTCAATATTTGTTTCCAAAGTATCATCAGTATTAAAATCAAAGAATTCATGGCATGTATTTAACGATACACTTATTCTTCAGAGTGATGATTTAGAAAATAATTATAGAGGCTTAGATTTGTTTACAAATAATGCAAATAAAGAAATCTTTGACAAGTTTAGAGTTATATTCCAACTTTTTGTTAGCATCCATCAAATTCATAACGAGCTCTTTTATATCTGCCACCCACGTTATTTATCTAATCATGAATTTAGAGTTGATTGTTCCAAAAATCAACTCATTAACTTGAAAGATACCTTAGAAAGAAAGGTTGAAAAATGGAAAAAGTTTATCGACCATTTGCCAAAGAAATTACTCTTTTTAAAAGCATCGGGTATTTCATCACTCTACTCTAAACTTAAAACCATTTTTAAAGGAAAGAAAACAGATAACACATTCACACAAGATTCAGAAAAAATTACAGAAGAGATTTACCCATTCATCAAATACTGTTTTGGTAGCGAACTTAATCTGGAATATTCTCTTCTCTTGGAGCAAGTTAAAGAAACTAAATTTGGTGGAAAAATCGAAAATTTCTTATTTGATTTAATTAAAAGAATCAAAGTCAATATCGTTGGTAATTATGACGAAAAAGATGAAGAAGAGGAAAAAGAAAGAAAAGAACAAAGAAATACAGACAACCAATTATCATATCAATTTAAAGATGGTGAAGAAGAGCAATTAATTTCAGAATATGCATCTGCAAGTGGAAAAGTTAATACATCATTCGAATTAGTACCTATTCCAACTAAACAAAAATCTGATCTTTTCCGTTATTTAATGTGGTTAAATGATGGTGTATTGCCCCATCCAAGTCAAATCTTTTATTCAAATACATTTGATAGAGATTTTTCGTTTTTTAAGAAATTAGTAGAAAGATTCAAAGATATTAAATTCTTTTTAATTGGTACTCCAAAGAATAAAGATGACTTGATAGAGTGGATGTCTCAACACTTTAGTAAAAGCTCAATGTCCCAACTCGCAAAAGTTTACATTGTTTCAATTGAAGATGACAATTACACCAAAGACGTATTTTCATTTATTCCCATTAATTCCGATAAATTAACTCTAAGTTGGGATCATTTCAAATGTTCCTGGAAAGATACAGTCAAACCAAAATCAATTGATTCATTAAATTTAGTTTATGACAAAAACAGTACTGGCAAAACTCACTTCATCAAGAGTAAAACAAAAAATTCCAAAGTTGAAACAGTCTTTATTAGATCAGGTTTTAAAACAAATTTATTATTCAACACTCTAAAAGAAAAGAAACTTAAAGAATTATCTATCCATTTCAATATATCATGTTATGCCGATTTTGAAGAGTTTTCTCAATTTTTTTACCCATTCATCACTTATGGTTACATATTCAAAAAGAATGGAGAATTAGCTTGCATTCCAAATAATTGTTCAATTAAAATTTTTGTTGAAATTGGTGAGCCTCTAAAGAATGATTTAGATAGTGACTCACTAAAGAATGATAAAAATAGTGATCCACCAAAGAATGATAAAAATAGTGACCCACTAAAGAATGACCCACTAAAGAACTATGTAGAAAATTCAATACCTTTAATATACTATTTAGCAAACATTTACTCTAGGAACCAAACCGATTCCGGCCAAACCAACTATGATGAGTACAAGAATGTTCAATGGGAAGCTGGTGAATCCGAAAAGCGTGCATTTAGTTTTGTACATTGCTCTTTCTATCAAAAGGCAACTATTGATATGGGTAATTCTTTCACTTTTAAAGAATACATTTTTTATCTTAAAAGATTTTTATCAGAAAAGTATTTAAAACTAGATATCGAGTATTTAGAAGATCCAAATTGCTTCCCATACAGAAAGAGTTTCTTTTTAATGTTAAATGAAAGATTAAAATTTTTAGATAGTTACTACGAGTTTTACTTAATGATATGTGATTATGACTATCAAAACTCTGGTTCAAGGCTTCAAGAGGGTCTTTTAACTTATCAAGAATTATATGAAATATTTTTAGTTGAATCTATACAATTGGCCAATCCAACCTATTCATCAACATCAAATTGGGACAAACCACCACTTATTACCAACAGATCAGCAGTAAAGATATCAAATTCTCAAGTAAAATACGACTCATTCCAAAGCAAAGCTATTGACTTTATTCATTTCTCTGAATCATTCGAGCACTCAATTCATGAAAAGATTAAGACCCTTCCATCATACATCACTTTAAAAGATGCAAGAGAAAACCCATCATTTTTCAATTCAAAGATTGCCACATCGTTCGGTATACATTCTAGAACTAATATCGTTAGTGATTTAGCAATTCAATATGGCTTTGTTTTAACTCCAGAGCTATCATTGCGTTTACTAGTTTTAAATAATAGAATACAGCATCACAGATCAATGATTTTAACAGGTGATACAGGTGTTGGTAAAACAATGCTACTTATTTTTTACTCTTTATTAATTAATGCTGGCTTATCATCTATCCCAGATATCATATTCGAAATCAAGGAGTTAATATTAAGTTTTGGCAAAAATGTTAACGGTTTCAGTCAAAGCGAATTATTTAAAAACCTGTCAAATAGCTATTCAATTGACAAGATCATTAAAGTTTCCGAAGAGATTTTTAGATTTTCACCAAATAAATCTGATAAAGACTCACCATCAACCTCTTTATCGTCGTCCACAAATGATGACCAAACTTTACCCGAAGAAAATAAGAGTAAACTAATCGATCAAGCAATATCAAAAAATATATCATTGCCTTTTGAAAGCTCGTTAAAACACCAAGGTCTATTCATAAAGAAATTAGAAGAAACAATTTTGGGTATCATTGAAAGATATTCATTAATAGATATTAAAGAAGGTGGCTATATACAAAAATTAATTTCAGCAAGAAAACAAAATATTAGACAGATCAACTTTTCAAACACAGTCGAATTAATCAAAGAAATCTGTACAGTTTCATTCAAAAAGATCTTTACTCGTATTATTATGAATAAAAAATTCACCAGCAAATTATTCAAAAAACAAGTTAAATCAATTTTAGAAGAAAGTTTAAACCTGAAGAAAATTGACCCAAATTTAAAGATGGTTGTATTTATCGATGAGTTTAATACAAGTCCAGAAGATACTTTAGCCTTAATTAGTGAAATATTTACTGATAATACACTAGATGGAGAAAAAATAAATATCGATAATATTTTTTGGATCGCTGCAATGAATCCACTTTCACACAATAATACTCAGCCAAACAATATTGATTATACAGGCGAAGAATCTCAAGTTAATTCAGATTTTGTAGTTTTAGAAACACCACCATCCTTAAAACAATTCTTTTTAGACTATGGTACACTTTCAACAAGCAACGAGTCTTCATTTTGTCATGGTTTATTAGAATTAAAGAAAGAAAATATTATACCAACATATATCAATGAAATGGGCAGTATAGCTACAATAGAAATTCAAGAGGATATTAATAGGTTTATTACTATTGGTCAAGAAGAATTAAGAAAAAGCTCTCAAGTTAGAACCCATGTTTCATTCAGAGACATTGTTAGAGCCATAGACCTTTATCAACTATTTAACGAAAATATTGGCACAGAGATATTCAAAAAATATGATAAGGATATCCTAAATAAACCATACAAAAGACATTGGTTAGCATTAATTTGTAGTTTTTCAATGACCTACTTATACAGATTAAATTTAGAGAATAGAAAATCAATGGTTGAAAGTATTAATAAATATATAGGTTCCAAAAAAAATAGCTCATGCTTACTTGACGATGGTAATATTAAATCCCCCGTTGATATTAGAAATATTTTTAGCTCAATTTGTGGTTGTGTTACCGCTCATACCAATATTCCAAAAGGTATTGCCACTACCGAATCATTAAAGTTAAATATTTTCTTTACATTAATATCAATTTATTCATGTATACCATTGTGTATTGTTGGTCCACCAGGTTGCTCAAAGACTTTATCATTTAGTATTGTTAATGACAATTTCAATAAATCCAAGAAAACAGACAATCCAATTTACTCTTTTATCAAATCTGCTCAACCATTTAGATATCAATGTAACAATCATACAACCGATAGTGAAATTGAAGAAGTTTTAGAAAGAGCTATTAGTCGTGCCAGTATTATTCCAGACAGTAGAATGATAGTCCATTTAGATGAAGCTGGTCTTGTAAATGAAGAAGCATCACCAATGAAAATCATGCACGATTATTTGGATAAAGGTACAAGAAGCAAAACTTTAATTTCAATTATTATACTTTCAAATAGAATTTTGGATGCTGCTAAAACCAATAGAATGTTATTATTGGTACATCCAAAAGAAATCTCCCATGAAGATGAAAAAGCTTTAGTTGCAGGTTGCTTATTTGGAAAAAGTAGTCTTACAGACGAACAAATAAAAATTTGCAATAGTATATGTATTGGTTTTTCAAATATTACAAAAAGTAAAATTAACAATTTACATAAAATCCTTCCAACAAAGAACCAAAATCAAATATTTGAAAAAGATCTGTTCCACCAAAGAGATTTTGTATTCTTTTTGCGTCACCTCAAGAGATCATACGAAAGAGATAGAATGATTACACCAGAAACATTGTTAAACTCATTAGAAAGAAATTTCATTGGCAACACATATTTCCCATTACACATCAATTCGTTCTTTATCGCATTTGGTTTCGATGAAAACAAATACTTAGGAAAAGATAGTACCATCGAGAGAATATTGGAAAATCTTAAAGAAGAAATTGACATTGAAAAAGATGACATCAATACTCTCGGTTTTAGATATATGATGCTTTTAGATCCAACTGAAAACGAAACATCATTGTCAATCCTCAAAGAATTAGGAGTCTCATTTTCGGTTATTAGAGTTGGTGATTTTGAAAACGATAAAACTAGTGATAACATTTCATATATCATCAACGAAATGAAAAATAAAATGTCAAAAGGTGGTACAGTAGTTTTGGTCAACTCTCAGCCAATTCAAGCTTGTTTCTATGATGTATTCAATAGACATTTCGCAGTATTCCAAGATAAAACCAAAAAGTTATTCCTTTCGCATCTTTCTTATGGTACCAATACTATATTTGCACCAGTCCATCCAGACTTTAAAGTTATTGTTCATTTACCTCTTTCAAAACTAGAAAAGACTCAATTACCATGGTTAAATCGTTTTGAAAAATATATTCTTGGTATCGATCAGTTACTTTCTTATAAACTTAATGACTCACCATTCAAAGAGTTTTACACAAATCTTTTAAAAAGTGGTAGAGAATTCGTTAAAACTGTAGATCAAAATGGCTCTTTATTCTTTGGGTATTGCAAAAGCACAATAGGTTCATTGGTATATCAAGCATTAAAACAAGAGCAATTATTTGGACCATATACTCATTTTATAAAAAACAAACAAATTCCATCAAAGAAAAACCCATTGCCAGCAACATTATTAAATTGGAAACTATTACAAATTGCAAAACCAGAGTCATTACATGGATGTATTTATCTTTTTAATACTAGATACAAACAAGAGTATTTGATGAATCAAGAGCATTTTAATGCCTTTCTTTTTATTGAAACACTCATCAAAGAATACTTTTTACAATTAGAAAACAATAATAATAGTCCAATAAATTCAAAGTGGACTATATTCACAAGAACATCATTTTATTTGCACAATATTAAAGGTGAATTTTCAAATAATAAAATTACAGACGCTTTGGTTTCAAATATTTCTCTTCCAGATATTCTCCCAAAAATTAAAAACACGAGCAATCTCTTCAAAGTAATAAAGCTTCAAGATCTTAAATCAAGTATTCAATGTAGAGGTGAAATAGAAGAATTCTTTTCAAATCCAGATTGCTTTGTATTGATAGTTGTTGTTGATATGATGGTTGTAACTAATAATCAAATAAATTTAGTTCAAGAGCTATTTGATGAAGACCCCCAAAAAAACAGATTATTAATATTCATTTGCCATTTCCCACCAGAATATACAATTTCACCACAAAATAACATCAACGCAATATTTTTAAACAATAACAATTTCATTTATATTGATTCTTTGGGCATTAAAATTGAAGATTTATCATTTGACTCTAATCAAAAGATGGTTCCAAATTCAGAATCAAAGCTCAATATATCCAATTTTGTAAGAAAAAGTTTTGGTTTGGAAAAAAATGTTGAAAAAAGTGATGAAGGTTACTTGGAGGATATGTTTTTTGAATTCTTAAAGCAAATTTCGAAATCTATGATATCACCATTCATTCCATTCAATTCAAATCCAATTATTAGAGAGTTCTATTCAACCCCATCAAAAAGATACGACTATTTAGATCGATTATTTAAAAACAATAAATCTTGGGTATCATCAATTATTGATCAATTTTTAAGAACATGGAATGAATCTAAATTCATCTCTGAAATCATTACAGAAGTCTCTAGCAATATTTCATCAAGCTCACAATCCTTCTTTGATGCAATTAAAAGTTCAATTAAATGTTATTTCTACCCGGTAATCTCTCAAATTCTTAAAGTATTGGTAAACTATTTCTCATTCGAATCAATATTATTAATTAAAGATGATCCTGATCAAGTAGAAATGGTCAGAAAATATATTTTATCGGTAAACTCACTCAAGATCCCAGATTCTATTGAAGAAAGATTACAACCAATTACAATTTTACCCCCACCAATTAATGGTGTCACCTCAAACCTTCCACTTTACGATTCAATTTCAAATACCATCAGTCAATTGTTTGACCAATCATTAGCATCAATTAATGCAAGAAACTCGATCTATCTATCAAAGACATTCTCTAATGTAATTGATAATCACTCAATTAAAGAGGTTATTTCGCACATTACATCACATCAAAAACTATTAGAAAAATTCCAAACTGATTATATTGTCAGAACACTCAAATTTGATCAATCAATATCAAAATTCTTTTTCAATTTAATTCATCATCTCAGAATTAATGTTCATTCAAATTATAATCATCCAATTTTAGATCTATGGATTGTTTCATACTTTGAAAGCACAACATTAAACCTAATCAAAAATATTTTATTACCACTTATCAATCTTAATGGTATCAATTTAGTTGAAGAATTAATTACTCTCAAGTTCAATGTTAAAGACTTAAGTGAATATAAACTATTCATTGAAGATTTTTCATTCAAACTGCTGTATAAAAGACTTGATTCCTTATTGAAAAATGTTAAAAGCGAAAAATATTTCCCACTAGACTCATTTATCAACTGGATCAAGGTAGTTAGAGAAGTTTTCAATATTTCATCAGGTTTTAAAAATACAATTGTTGATTTTAAATCTTCCAGTCAATATTCATCAAGTATAGAAATCATTTCATATATCTATGTTGTATATTCAATATTTTTAGATACTGTTTCAAACCATCCAAGCTCGCATTCTCTACAAAACATTACCCACCTATTACTGGACTTTATTCAATCAAAAACAGTATTCGAATTCTCAAATATCAAAAGTCTTTTCGTATTCCTATTTAATTTCAAGAAAAGTAAAGAAAACCAATTTTCAAATGACCCATTATTTAATAATTGTTTCCAAAATGATTGTATATTGGATATCTTGGAATCAATAATATCAATCAACAATGACAACTTTATATCTTTTATAGATATTTGCTTGAATCAAAAACTTAATTCCTTTATTACAGTTGGTTGGAGTTGTTTAGTCATCTACGACTATATCAAGAGTAAAGAATCAAACTTTTTAAATTTAAAGACAATAACTAATGACCGTTTAAACAAAAGTCCAAATGACTTTAACTATCATCCACCATTCGTTGTTCAACCATCAGACCCTTGTCTTAAGTTCTTTCAATTAGGAGATAATGGTCAAGAGATTAAAATATTAGAAGACTCTTTATTCTACTCATTATTGAAAAATATTGAAGACATCGAAATGGATAGTCTTTTAATTGCAAGAGAAGGCGAATCAAAATCAAATGACCCATTCAGTAAAATTTATATGGAAGCTCTTAATACACGTATCATTGAATTGTTTGCCAGTTCATTAAATTCAAATTCGGGTTATTTCAATAGCTTTTCAAATTATAACGAAATCTTTAGGAATACCATCAAGAGTTTATTCACAATCTCCGAAAACTCAAGTGCAAAAGTCATTAGGGTCATCAACATCCATAGAGCCACTTTAATTAACAATCTTGATGAAAAAGTTTTAGAAACCATATTAAAAGATACCAAATTCCTTGAAAGTATTGGCCTTTTAACATTCTTAATTGAAGATACAAACAATAATGGTCCAAAATCCGAAATCGATTATAATCAACTACCATTCATTTATAATCCTAAAGATACAAATTATGAACACTATAAAAATCTAGAAATTTTTATTCATTCCTCATCAACTCCAAATTTTGTTCAACTTCAAAAGAACTATATTACACCAGAGTTACAAGGTATAGTTAGATCATGTCTCTTTTTAATTCTTTACCAAGATTACTTGGATGGAAAAGATTTAAAACCATTCATCCACTTGTTAGAATCACCAGATCAAATTGAATTCCTCAAGTTCTTTGAAATCGATCAATTTAGAGATACCTTTAATGCATTTGCCTACCCTGATAAACTAGATCCATCAATTTCAATTCATAAAATTCTAATGAAAGACCCAAACAAAACTAGAGAAGAAACAATTGCCGCATTTATTACAGTAAACTCGGTAGCAATTTCAATTGGATCAAGTTCTAATACATTCCTATTTAATTTAACAAGAAATATCCAAACTGTAGCCGGTCAATATTTCCCAGCTTGTGATGTTGGTAATATTTTTAGAGATTGCGCAATGATTTATTTAGATGAAGCCGAAGATAATACTGTTACCATGGGCTATAATACCTTATATAAATATATTGTCTCATGCACTTCATGGTCTGCTTTTACTTGGTTTATCTCAGTCTCTCCACATTTTACCGAATATCTTTTAAAACCTCAAATTCATTTCGTCAGTAAATTAGATGATCGTTCTCATTCATCACTTACTAATTATCTTTGGGATAGAGCTATAACATCCATAAGTGAAATTTCAAGAAATACAGATATTGTTTCACAACATATTGAAACTGGTCAATTAATTTCAGAATTTCTTTATGATATCTGGAAACAAGGCTTTAGAAATACCAACTCCAAATTAGGTCAATATCTCAAATCTCATTTTTCATCGGTCCAACAAGTCATTTCATATGAAAAATATCTTTGTACTGTTATTACAGCTTTAATTAAAGACTATCCAAGAAGAAAAACTTTGCTTAGAGAAATACACGATCAAAAGGGTGTAATGAATACAAAGAGCAAAGATACAAAATCACTCATCAACTCCCTAAGAGAAAATTTCGTTCGTTCTTATACTCGTCCATACTTTACATTTGAAAAGATTAATAGTTTATTATGCTCAACAACCGATAATGAAAGCTATCAAATTTTGAAATTTATGTCAAATCAAATCCAAAAGATCTGTGTTTCAAAATATTTCTCTAAACTTATTAGCTTTATTAAGAAATTCTATGAAATATTTAAATTCCGTCTCAAAGAGGATCAATTCAATTTTAATTTTAATCTGTGTATAGATTTATTAAAAACCAATCTCACCGAAGATAAATCCTCAACACCCCAAGAAATATTAGAATTAGAAAACTCTTGGAAATCATGCAAATTAGCTTGGGCAAATATTACCAAAGAAATGAATATTATAGAAGGTGGCTGCGCTCAAAGACCAGAATTTGAAAAAGTAGCCTACCCAATTAACGATGAAACTCCAATGAGTTTCCTCTTTTTCGATAGTAATAGTAATGGTGCTGGTTTATTCTTAAATTTAATCAATGGCTGGGTCAGTCACACACAAACTCCATGTCTGCAACTTAAGGATAATGTTGAAATGACCGATACTTTCCGAAACATCACAGACGGTTTCTTTACAAAGAATAACACCTACGATCTTGCTGATTTACCAGATGGTACAAACTATTATTTACTAGGTGCCGATTTTGAAGCAACCGAATATCACGAATACATCTATCATTTATTCTCACATTATCAAAACTTTGATAGATCTCAAATGTCCCCAAATTTTAAAACGATTGAAAACAAAGTTATTGCCAGATTCTTTGCAGGTAAAGGTATTGCATCAGTATTAAAAACCTATTCAACTCGTTTCCCATTCTTAAAAGATGTTCAAGCTAACTCACTTTACAACAAATTAAAATCAATTCCTCAAGAGGATTTGTCATCGAATGTTTACATTAAAGGCCTCCATGAAATTACAACCAAGCTAAAGGAATATGATGTCGATATCAGCTCACCATTAAAATCACACCTTAACACATTTTTCAAGAAATTTAAAGATACACCAAATGACTTTGCTTATTTTTTAACAAATATGATATCTGAAATCATCAATAGATTAAAAAACAATAGTATTTATCAAAACATCGAAGATGCTCATCCAAAATTTGATGGTAAAATAACATTAATCGAATTTAATCAAGATTTCACAAAATTCATTGGAGAAGAGCTTTCAAGAAAAATTAATTTAGAGCAAATTGGCACTCTTTCTTATCTATTCTTAGTTTATACAACCAAAGAAATATCACTCTATAATAATATCAAAGCTAAAGTTGTTGACCGTAATCTCCTAAAACTCTACGATACCTTATATCTCTATTTAGTAGGTCATGACGACAAGAAAAAAATGATCAAACATCTCAAAGAAATTCACAGTATTTTAGTTTCATTAGATACAGTTAGACTAGTCTCACTTGGTATCGAAACAAAGAGCACTCTATATGATATTGTTTCAAAACAACTAAACAAACTTGGTGAAGATACCCTCGCCCTCGTACCAATCAAATCATTATGTTTAGTAAATACCCCTCTCAACTACTATCCAATTTTAATGAGAACAATTCATAAATCAATCAATTCAATTTCTTCAAAGATTTTAGAAGAGAACAAACAAAACAAACAGTATAAAGAATCATTTACCTCTCACTTTTATGAAAAAGATATCATTAGACATGCTGATGATAATGATGATAATGATGATAGTGATGATAATGACGATAATGATACAACAAACAATCAAGGATATAAAGAAACATTTAAAGACTCATTTAATGAAAAAGATAATTCCATAGAAAAGCAATTAGAACTTATCAATAAAAGAATCTCAGAAGAATTTGGTGATAATCCAATTATTCCATATGATAGTCAAGGTAAAGAAATCACCAATAGAATCATCTCCTTCCTTTATCTTTCAAAACCAGAGTCAGCACTTAGTAATCAAGCTATTGTTGCACCATTTAAACACTATGTTTATTATTGGTTAAGAAATTTATCTGAATTTGACCAATTCCTTTCTCTCAGACCAAATCAATCCAAATTTAATGAACTTTTTACAATATTCAACTCCTTCAAAGAAGAATGCTACAAAGAATCTAAAGAGTCAATTAATCTTAGCTATTTGGATGAAAAAATATTTGATGATTTCACCCCTTCAAATATTTTTGATGTTTTCACCCATGTCATTCATAAACTCTCATCAATAGATTCAAATATCAAAGATTTATTCTTCTGGAGCATCAAAAGACCAAACTCAAATGTTTATGAATATATCGAAAAGATTGGTATTTATCAAGATTGGAAAAACTCTGATGTTTCAATCAAAGAATTAATTAAATTAAATACCAACGACAAAGAGTAAGTAGTTCAAAGCTATATATTATAAAAAAATTTCTAATATTTCTTTTTCTCCTCTTTTAGTGTTCAATTTAAATCGCCCGAATATATTTTAATTGGTGTTAACAGACCACTCGATGGCTCTACTAAAGATCGTACATTACCTTTAGAAAACGAAATTGATATCTCTAATATTTCAGAAAACTCGGTGTATGATATTCACTCGGTAGTTGTAAGTAAACTTTAATGTTATATTTTCAATTTTTTATTATAATAAAACTAACTTTCTTTTTTTAAAAATAGTACAAAAACGCTTTTGGTTTTATTTTAATAATAAAGAGTGGTAATAGAAATTTGGTATTTACTAAAGATAAAATAACTGAAATCGTTAATCTTTCTGAGCCTTTATTGGATGCAATGAGTAAAAACTGCTCATTAGTTTGTATTAAGAAGAGATCGACAAATAAACCAGATCAATTCACAAAATTCCAAAAAGAACAAGATTATATTAATAAGCAATTAACTAAAGAAACCTTTAATCCAGATTCTCAGATAGACCAACCAATTTTAGATCAACCTGGCCAAAATACTGCAACCACAACAACAACAACAACAACCACAACCACAACAACTACAACAACAGCTCCACCCCAAGCTATTATACAACCAGCTCAACAGCAAAAAGAAGAACAACAACAGCAACAGCAGCAGCAACCAATACAGGAGCAACAACAACCAATACAACAACAAGTCTCACCTACACCACAACAGCCAACACAAATCATAAACCAACCACAAAATCAACCAACACCTCAAACATCCCAACAAACATCTCAAATAACTCCACAATCACCACAAAATGCACAACAAACTCAAAATATAGGGCAACAAATCCCACAACAGCAACAGCAACAGCAACAGCAACAACATCAACATCAACATCAACAATCACCTCAACAATCTATTTTTGATACCCAACAATCACCACTTTCTCGATCCACTACAGATTCTCAACAATCACCACTTTCTCGATCCACTACAGATTCTCAACAATCACCACTTCAGCAATCTGTCATTCAGTATATACCATTAGAAAATCATAGAATTCTTTATAATAGAACACTTTTTAAACAGTTTTTAGATGATTTAGAAAAACTTGATGAAAATAATAAAAAAGAACTTGTTGAAAATGGTATAGATTGTTATTCTGTAATTTTAAATATGAAAACAGAAGAATGGAAACAATTTTCATTTATTAAAGCCCCTATCAAAAACAAAATAATTAATTCAGTATTAAAGCAAACCAACCCACTAAGCAAGTTTTATTACTTTGAAAGCTATCACGATGCGTTAGAAAATAAAGAAATATTCCGTGATTTTCTTATTGACATTCTTAATTCAGAGGAACACGCCGATAAGCTTATAGAAGAAGGTTATGAAGATTTTAGCTGCACAATTTCTAGCGATGATGATTATGATGATTTAATAGAATTTTTAAATGAGTTCTTAAAGCCAATTACAACCTCAAACCTTATATCTCAACTTCAACATTTTAATAAAAATAGAAATAATTAACTTTATATTGTAACCTTTAAATAATAATAATATTAATAATAAAGGGTTCCAATATTTAAAGTGTTTTTAAAAAAATAAATTAAAAAAAATAAAATAATAAAATAAAAAATAAAAAAATTATTTCAACAAATTTTAAAAATAGGGTAAAAATAGAATTTAATTCAATCACAGATATCACAAATACTAAAAAAATGTTATAATTGTGTGGGTAAAAAAAAAATGTGGTTACTTTATTTCTTTTCTTTTTTTTTCTTTTTTTTTTTTTATTTTTTATAAAAATTGTTTATTACAAATAAAAATGTTATATAATATTTTTTTGTTTTTATTTTATTTAGTATTTGTTTCATTAATTAACGCAAGTAATGAAAAAATTTTACAACCAACATTAACAAGTACAAAAAGTGAAGGTGGTCAAATATTCATTTACAATTTAGATAGCTTTAATGTTACTCAAATCTCTGCACAGTTCCACAGTACCGAAGTTAAAACTGATATTTTTTATTGTCAAAATATAAAAATATTAAACTCAACATCAATTACATGTATTGTTCCAAAAGGATTTGGTGTCTACCTTGTTGTAATAAAAGATAACCAGCATATCGCATTCCCAATTTATTGGTCATACGAACTTGGGGACAAAGAAAAGAAATCTATAAAGGAAAAAGATACAAATCACTTTCCTTTGTTTGAACAAAAAAATAGAAGAAATATTATTTTAAATGGTAAAAGTGTAGCGTCTACATTAAACAACATAGAAATGAAAAGAATTAAAAAAAATAGTGTAGATAATAGTCAAAGAGAAAAATTTAGAAAATATAATAGAAAACTTATTCAATATAAAAATGGTCATCTTTAAATATTTTTTTTAAACAGTTACAAAAAAAAAATAAATTAAAAATTTCATGTTTTAAACAGTTTTCAAAAAACTGTTTTATATCTTTATAATTTAGATTCATTAAACATCTATTCTAGATTTAATTTAATATCACCGTTATATTTATAAAATTTTTTATACTATAATATTTTTTTTTTAACCCCTTTATTTTGTGTAAATAATTATATTCTAAACTGGAGTTATAAGACGAATTATATCACTTTTAAATTAATAACAGATCTAAAAAAACATAATATTTTATTATTAACAAATTATGACTATACTATATTAATAAAAAAAACAAATTGTGCGTATAAATAATAATAATTATTCTAGATTATTTTTTTTTAAAATTAAACAAATTAATGTTTAAAGATTTAAGATTTTATTAATAGCGTTGTGTATGTTTATAAGTTAAATCGATGATTTTTTTTGTGTAAAGTTAAGTGAATTTATTTTTTATCATATTTAATATTTATTATTTTTATATAATATTTTTTTATAAAAAATAAAACTGCCAATATTAAATTTTTTTTTTTTTCAATTCAAATATATTAAAACAACTCAAATTATGAAAACTTACTTTCATACAAATAGAATTACTATCAATAATAAAAGTATAAACAAAAAATACAGAGTGACAATTAATTTAGAAAATGAATTAAATAATGAAGCTGCAGAGTTTATAAAAAAATTTCAACATTCCCCAAATCTAGATGGTTTATACTATGGAACAATTAAAATAAATGATAACAATAATCATTTTGAAGACGAAATTGCATGTTTCTTTATAATCTCCAAAGCTAACCAAAATAAGAGTTTAATCGAGCTATTGAAAGTGAATAACAATACAATTGATGGTTTAGAAAAATCTTTATTTTTAAAAGATATTTACATTGACCCTTTGTATAGTGGTAATTTATTTTATTTTATTTCAATTTTAAAGAGTTTAAAAATTTCACACCAATGCAAATATAAATCATTTTATATATCAACAAAATCAGGTTTAACTTCGACATGGATAAACCTAGAAAAAGTCGGCTTTAAAAGAGTATATGATAAAAACCCTAATAAGAATCAACCTACCAATACTCTAAACCACTGGGCATCAAAAGAAAAAAGCTTTTTATATAAATATGATATGAATGAAGCAAACAAAGATTGGGATGAACTTATAAACAATGCACTATCAACTGAATTTGAAATTTTTTGGAAACAATTCTCTAGTCAATACAATATAAAAAGTAAATTATAAATAATAAAAATTATTATAAAAAAAAATAAAACATAAAACAGATAAAAAAAAAGTGGGGGTGGGGTTATTAAAAAATTGTTTTTATCAAACTACAATAACCAGTAAAACACACAATTTTTTTTTTATGTGTTAATTTTAAACGCTCTATAAAGTTAATTGTAATTTTGTTTTTTTTGTTTTATTAAATTAAAATTATGATAATATTTTTTATTAAAATTTAAAAAAAAAATTTCTATTAAATATTGAAAAAAAAAAATGAAAAAAATAATACACAAAACAAATAAAATATATATAAATAATAAAATAAAACATGGGGAATTTACAATCACAATACAGGTCGAGAAATATTTCACCAAAGAAATGATGCAAATGATCCAAAATGTAAACCCTGATAATACTATGGATTTCTCGTCTATTAGTTTTCAAGATATATATAATAAAAAAATGCATATAGTAACAAGAGTAGATAATGAGATTGTAGCATACCATCAGCTCATTGATGCCCGCCATTGTTTGCTTAAAGATGTTCTATCGCGTATAAAAATTTCAAATGATGAAAAAGAAAACTACAATGTATTATTATATAACTTTTCCTGTGTAAATCCAAGATATAGAAACGGAAATCTATTTTGTTTTTTAAATTATATAGTTGCTTATAAATATGCTATTGAAAATGACTTTAGTTTTATTTCACAATTTGTAAGAGTGAATTCAACACTAATTAAATCGATTTCTGAAAAAAATGGTTTGAAGAAAATTGTGCCATCGTCATTTAGAATTAAAGATTGCTGGGACTCCTATTACTCAAATATTGACGTTCATTTATATTTAAGTGACAATTTAAAAAAAAATCCCACTCTTTCCACCTACACAATTAATAATTTATTAAATTTAGCCCTATTTAATGATAGAAATAATTTTTTTAATTTATTAAACAAAAATTTATTATTTAATCAGGGAAAATTATAATTTTAAAAAAATAAAAAAATAAAAAATAAAAAATAAAAATTATTTGAAATTTTCGAATTATCTAAAAAAAATTTTATTATAATATTACATTTTATTTCATTACTTTTTTATTAATCTGGAAATAATTTTATTGTATAGTATTTATCTTATTTTTTTATATGATTTTGTATATAATTTTAATTATTTTTATATTTTTTATATTTTTTTGTTATATTATAAATAAAATTATAATCTTCACCAGCAAAATAAATAATATTTAAATAAATATCTTTTTTTTTATACAAAAATCTTAATAGAAACATAATTTTTATATGCTTTTCCCAATATTATAAAATATCTTCGGTTAAAATTATTTTTTTTTTAATTTTTTTGGGATGAAACGAATTTTCTCGTGGTTTTTTACTTTTTTCATAACGCTTGCCAAAAAACAAAAAAAAAAAAAAGAAATTGTATTAAAAAAATGATATCGCCACTCTAGTGCACAATCATTTTTTTGCTTTATTTATTCCAAAGTCAAAAGAAATTTTTTTTTTTTTTGTTTTTTTTTTTTTTTTTTTTTCATATAATAATTAATTTTATTTTATTTTATTTTACATAATTTTATTTCTTATTTTAAATTTTTTTTTTTATCTTTCTTATTTCACGAAATTTAAACTATTATTATTTTCGGTGATCAATTTCTTTTTTTTTACAATTTAAAAAAGAGAGGGAACAATTAAACATAAAATAAATATATAAAAATGAATTTAAATATAAAACAAATCTTCACAATAATTTGTTCCGTTTTTTCAATTTTATCAGTAGTATTATCAATATCTGCTTTAAGAAGTATGATTTATCTTTATTTATTTTTATTATTTAAAATATATTAATTTATTTTTTACTAATTTTTTTATTCAGAACCTTTTCAAACTATAAATTATAATGGAACTATTTTTAAACCAGTAATTTATTCAGATTCAATTATTTATACAAATGATGTTTCAACAAGTGGTTATTTCCAACATTTTAATTCAGATCAATCAGTTGTATATATTCATGTTACATCAATTATTTCAGAAATTGTTTTATGTATTTATATTACTATAGTGTTTTATTATTTCACAAAACCAATGAGGGAAAAATATGAAACTATAGATTATGTAACATTGGTTCCTCCATTTGGTGCATTTGCATTATTAATAGCCGCATCTGCAGTAAGCAGAGATTTAAATGTAGATATTTGTGAAGATATTGGTCAATGTGTAAACTTTAAATTAAAATCAAACCATCAAACAATAATAGGTGATACTGGTTTAACATACAATAGCTATTCTAAAAGCTCAATTGGTTATAACTTAATTATTACCTCCACTGTTATGGCTGGTTTAGGTTTTGCTTGTAATTTAGCTAGATTTTATTTATTAAAAAATAGAATATAACATTAAATTAACTAAAAAAAATAAAATAAAATAATAAAAAAGTTTAAAAAATTATTTATCTTTTTGTTTCTTTAATAGGAAAATAAAATAAATCTCATGTTATAGAATACAAATAACTTTACAAATACCCATTTTCACGAATTTAATATGCAATAAGTTTGTGATCTATCTAATATTAAAAAATATAATTTATAATTTATATAATAAATTTATTATATATTTTTCTTTTTATAAAACAAATAAAACTATTTATTTTTATTTATTTTATTTTCTTTTTATTTGTTTTATTTTTTATATTGGTGAATGCATACCCAACTTAGTATCAAATTCTAATCTAGATTCTAGTTGAAGGTCATCAAACCAATTTTTATATTTTCTTTTTACAAATTCGTCGATTATTATAACAAAGAAGGCCCAACAGAATAATACAACATATAATTCCCAAGATACTTCACCCAATAAATGAATACCGTCGATAACTTTAAGTGAAATAAAGGAAAAGGCAATTTGAAGTGAGATACAGAGAATGGCCATTGCAATCCAAATATAATTTCTGAGAGGGTTAAATTTGAGGATGCTCTGAGTGTGATGAATAAAGCTAATACTTGTTATACAGAGATAATATACAAAAGCAAACATCATAATGTTTTGAGATACCAACAAAGCGGATGAGTACGATATACCATTTGTTTTCCAATTTGATAAATCTGCACCAAAAATATTTGCCCAGCTTGCACCAGTTAGGGAGTGAAGAGACCAAAGGAAAAAGAATGCTGTTAACAAAATGGATGGAACTAATCTAATTGCAATATATTGAGCAAATGTTGGAATATGTTTAAATTCAGAGTTGTTCTTTGGACTTATGGTTGTCATTACATCTTTATCCTCTGGTGTGGCTAATAATGAAAAGCCTAATATTGGAATTATTATAAACTCTAACCACATTAATTGGAGACCTGTTAATGGGACTTGACCTACAACGCCATCATGTGAAAGGCTTACAGCCAAAATACCACCAACGAGTGTCATTAATACTAATGCCATGCTAGCACTTAAAATAAACAATAAACATTGTCTAGTATTTGTTAGCAACTGTCTTCCGACGTGGAAAAATTTAAGCATTTCATTGAAATCGGTTCTACGATGGAAAACCAATGAGCATGGAAGTGATGTAAGATCGCAGCACAAACTGTGAGTTGATGGATATTCGGAAGGTACACGCTTAGTTCCAGCTATAGCATGAAGTGGAAGGGATGGATCTTTTGAAGTACCGCTGAGAGTATTATCAGTTGGAGTTTCGAAAAAGTTTCTAGAGGTCAATAATGGCAATGGATCACCTTTATTTAATGGTTGATTTAAACAACGTGGTACAGCGGGCTCTAAACCAAATGCCAAATCAGATTGACAAAAGATTGAAGTATTATCATAGTTTAAGGATGAACCAACACAGCATACTACTTCGCCATTTTCTTGAAGAATACGAATCATCTCTTTGGTATTATCTTTGGTGCAATCTGAGAACATTGGTACCAATAGCGGAACATTATCTACCTCTTCCAAGTGTTGTCTAATCATTGATATACCCTTTGGGAGACGAGATGGACCATCAGTGGTAGGAGCATTATTAACTTCGTTTGGTTCGGGATCGCGTAATGAGATACAACAGTTCCAATCGGTTTCTAAACCCAATCTATTTACAAATGAATTACTAGTTCTACGGTCTTCAGCTGAGAAATAAACAAAACGAATACCAGCAGCACGTAACACTTCAACAAAGTGGTTTGCATGAGATTTTGGTAAAACTCTCATACCAACCATACCGATGAAAATTTGGTTCATTTGTAACTTTTCCAATACGTCAATATCTTCTAAATTTGTTGGATAACATAGTTCATCACCTGCAAATGAATCACCTAAACTGCTTCCATGATTATTTTTTATTCTATATGATTCTTCCATTGGTCCCAATAAACTAGTATCAAATGAATTATTTCTTGAATTTTCGAAATTATTTAATGATTTTGATAATACATTAATATTAACATCATTATTATCATTATCACTATTATTATTGTTATTAATATTATTAATATTATTAATATTATTAATATTATTATTATTGTTTTTGTTGTTTTTATTATTACTATTGTTTATATCTTTTGATTTTTTATCTTTTTTCTTTTCTCTATCTTTAACTTTTTCATTTTCTTTTTCTTTTTCTTTTTCTTTTTTATCTTTTTTGCTTTGTTTTCTAAATTTAATTTTTGGACTAAATGGAGATTTTGATTTTTTATTTGTTGATTTTGATTTATTATTTTCAACAACTTCATCCTTAACATTATCTTCAGTTTCGCTGTTACTGGTATAATCTGACTCGTCATTTTCATTTTCGTACTCTTCGATATCTACCGATCTATCACTTGCTAGTTCATCATAATCATTTGTTCTGTTGTTTTCAATTTTCTTGATAATAACATTTGATGATGAATCTGATATGTCATTTTCTGAATTTTCATCACTTTCACCCTCTGAATCTATAATAGTAACTCTTTTAATTGGTTCATTTTGTTTTTCATCAGATACTTCTTGATTTTCATTTTCTTGTTCTTGCTCTTGCTCTTGATCATTACCAGTAATTGGTGATAATGGTGGTGTTAAGAGTTCATTTTCTATATTGTTTTTATTATTGTTTTTATCTTTTGGCTTTAAAAATTTATTACTTGATGATAAAAATGATGAAGAGAATTTTGGTAGTCTTTTCTTTTTCTTTGGTTTTGGTGTTTGGATTGGTGTTGGACCGCTTGAACCTGGTAATGGTGAGGCAACAAAAATTGTTGGAATACCTTCTGAAACATTTAATTTTGATTGATCAATATTCTTTGAAGTTAATAAAACTCTTAAACTATTATCGCCAACTGATTTACTGTTCTTTCTATGATTGACATTTGAGACAACACTTAAATTGTTATTATTATTATTACTATTTAGGTTATTACTATTATTATTATTACTATTACCATTACTATTATTATTATTATCACCATTTTCATCTTCAGTACCATTATTATCAAATCTAACATCAACTAATGGACTATTAACATTACCAGAAATAAATAATTTTTTGAAATAAGACTCAATAGGTTTATATGCAAAACAAATTGTATTTAAACTTTCATTTGAACCCCACTTATTAAAAATTTGTTTGATTTTTTCCTTTTCTGTATCGGTAAAGCTTTTAATTGATTCTCCATCATAATATAATTGACAATGTTCAAGAACCAAATCTGTACTACCTTTAGTTAATAATTGTAAAGTATCTGAATTTCTTTCTTTGCTAACCAACGATATCATAAATGGTGAAGAATCTTCATGTTGAGATGATGATGGTAAAGTAGCTGGTGTTTTTTTATGTGATTGGGTAAGAGTGTGTATTTCTTTTAATCTACTATATTGATTTAAAGCTTCCTCAGAGAAACCAATTTCTTTTGCCAATAAACAAAGGCACTGTGAGTTTGAATCTGAACTTGACTCACGGTCACGAATTAATTGTAATTTGGATGCTTGGTCTTGTGAAAAAATTTGACTACTACTGTGTGGTAAACATTGGTGTTGTTGATCACTTGTTGGTGGAACTTTAACCTCGGAATATAATCTACAAGTACGATTTAATAAGCAATCTAAACCCAATGGCTTTAATGAGCTGATGTGTTCACGCCAGTCGTTATCATTAAAGCTGATACTATATTGAGTATGAGAGTATTCAGATGATAACTCTAATCTAACAGGTTCATCTTTTAGGAAACAGACTTCTCCAACGGTATTAACTGGTTCTGATACTACACCCTCCTTATCGATACAGCAAATTACGGTAGTGCTTGCAATACTATGCAATAATTTTGATGAGTGAGAGAAAGCTACATGTTTAGTGCTAACTATGGCACCCCAATAAGTCTTCATTAATTTGAATGGTATATCTGGAATTTTATCATCGTTATACTCAGTATCGAAATTTAAAGCTGGATGATCGTCACTGATTTCACCCTTTAATGAACGTTCTTGTAATACGTCATAGAGAGCTAAAAGTTTTGCATGGCCAATTGAATATGTGATTAACAATAGAATACATGGTAACATTATAAATGAAAATGCTATAATTAAATTGACTTGTCTAATAATTAAAAGGTCGACCAAATCACGGTCATTTTGAAAAATTGATCTAAATATATTTGCAAGCATTGAAACACATACTGAGGCCCATAAAAATCTCTCGATTACAACATAGATGTAGTTAATAGCATTGACCACAGGGTTGGATGGTCTTGCTTTACTTGGTTCATCGATTGACATTGAAATTTGGTCAAAACATGGGGTTTCTGTTAAAAGGAAACAAGAACGTCCAGAGTTATAGAGCTTTTGAGCAATTTGAGCTACTTCATCTTTATCCTTATCTGGTGAGACTTGTAAAAGTTTTTGCTGTAATAGATCTGATGAATAAATTTCCCCTTTAGCTAAATGGATCTCTTTGAAGTCGGTTTCAATGCATTTTAATGGAACTTGCACTTTTTCTCCTTCTCTCAATGATGCCAAATCACCCTCTACCAAAATCGATAATGGTATTTTCTTCCATACCTCATCTCTGCATACTGACATTAAGGAAATTGAATCTGATACAGTTGTAACACCATTCTCTAAAGTATCACCAAATTTCTCATATCTCTTTAAATGACCCCTTGCCTTTGAAATTGTTTCATTGTGCTCTAGTTTTTGTTCTCTAATTACCATATAGAAGTGGAATATTATGAAAATTAACAATAACCCTGCGGACAATATAATATAAACTGCTTGAAACCCTTTTTCGTGTCTCAAACCATAAGCTACAACTAATAAAATAACACCCAATAAATATAATATTGGTGTAACCCTAAATAATTCCTTTTTAAATATTTTCTTTGTTTCGAATGGATTAAATAATTCTTTTTCATTTAATAAATTTTCAACTAAATTTTTTAATGTTCTAAATGTGAAAAAAATTATTATTAACATTTGTTTGATATAATACCTATGATTATGATTATGATTATGATTATGATTATGATTATGATTATGATTATGATTATGATTATGATTATGATTATGATTATGATTATGAAAATAACCTACTCTTTAGCTTGAAGTGAAGTTAAACCTTTTTCTGAATGTTGATGAATTCTTTGATTATCGCTGTAAGTATCGTGAAATGATACACTAATTTCATCATCTTTATTTTTTGATAAATCACAACTATTTCTTGCAGTTGCACCTTTTGAATTATTTTGTTGCTGTTGTTGCTGTTGATTATTTCCTTGGCTATAACTTCTAGCATGACTTAAACCTGATCCACCATGATTACCGCTTTGTCTACTTTTATCAATATAAATAATATTATCATGGCCTCCTGCATCAATTAAACTACCATAGCTATAATTATATCCTATACTATTTGAATTTAAATTATTATTACTAAGATTATAAACTATAGTTGGTGTGCTAACCTCCTGTTGTCTATTTCCTTTCTCTTCAATATTTGCACCATTATTATTATTATTATTATTATTATTACTATTATTGTTGTTTCCGATATTATTGCTGTTATTATTATTGTTGTTATTGTTATTGTTATTATTATTATTGTTTTCTAAATTATTATTAATATTATTATTAAATGGAGTGTTACTATCACCCATTTTATAATTTATTTTTATTCTCTGATATGTTATATCATTTAATTTTATATAAATAATATTTTAATATTTTTTTTGAAAAAAAAAAATAATATTTATTTGTATTTAAAAGCTAAAAAATATCTTATGAAAAAAAAAAAATTTTAAAATTTATAAATAAATATAAAAAAATATTCAAAAAAAAAACGAAAAAAAAAAAAAAAATAAAAATTATTTTTTTATAAATATTTATTTAAATTTTATTTAATTTTTAAAAAATAAAGATTAATTTTATTATTTAAAATTAAATTTATATTATTTTAAAAATAAACTCAAATGTAATCTTAATATAGATTTTTTTTTAAAAAAAAAGAACTGTTTCATTTCCAAAATAAAAAGTGATCGTATTATTATATTAAGATCATAAAAATAATAATCATCTATACTTCAAATAAAAAGATATAATTTTGGGGGGAGGGGGTAACATAAGTGATTATTTATATGATTTTGAGTCTAATGGTGTCTTTATTTAAAAATAATTAAAAAAATAAAATAAAAAAAAATTAAAAAAAAAAAAAATTAAAAAAAAAACGAAATTTTAATTTTTTTTTTTTTTTTATTTTAAATAACATAAAACGAAAGATTTGTTTATAGAAATAATGGCAAAACCAAATCAAACTAGTGAAAAAAAAGAAATGGTTTCCGTAACCAAATCCACCCCAAATAAAAATAATAAAAAAGAAGTTGTTGCTACTACCATTCCAAATAAAAATAAAAATAATAATAAAAAAGATGATAAAAAAGTAGATACAGCTCCAACTAAAGATATTAAAAAAGTAGAAACTGCCCCAACTAAAGAAAATAAAAAAGAAGTTGTTGCAACCAACACTATAGCTAAAAAAATAAATAAAAGAAAAGAACCTGAAGTTAAAGAACAAACCAAAGAAATCAAAGAAACTAAAGAAGTCAAAGAAACTAAAGAAGTCAAAGAGACTAAAGCCAAAAATGTTACAGAGAAAATCAATGTAAATAAAGATAATAAAAAACAACAACCACAAAAAAAGCAAAAAACAGAAACACCAAAACCAGTTGAAGAACCAAAGAAAGAAAATACAGTCACCACCACCACCACCATTACAGAGAAACCAAAAACAGAGCAACCAACATTCTCCATTTTTGATTCTTTAAAAAAATTAGATACCGAAACAGTTTCAACCAATGTTACCTCAACCACTGCTACCTCAACCACTGCAACTCCAAATAAAAATAAAAAATCAAACACTGAACCAAAAAATGAATTATTAAATAAAGCATTTTCAACTAGCAATGAATATTCAGAACCAAATATTAAAGAGATGAAAGAAAAAGTCGATACAGTTTTAAAAGAAATTAAAGATAATTCACCAAAAGAAAAAGAAAGAAAAGAACAAAAAGAAAAAACCAAAAAATTAAAAGAATCAGAAAAACTACGTGAAAAGCAAAACCCACGTACAGTATTTGTTTCAAATATTAAATTGGAGAATGCCAATGAAAAAGATATTAAAAGTAAATTTATAGAGTTTGGTAAAATCGAATCAGTTCGTTTCCGTTCAATTCCAATTTCAAGTATAGATGCCAATCGTAAAGAAACCTTTATTAAAAAACAATTCCACGAGAAACGTGACACATGTAATGCATATATCGTATTCGACACTGAAGCCAGCGCCAAGAAAGCAGTTGATTCAATGAATGGTAAAGAGCTTTTCGGCAAGCATATTCGTGTAGATTTAGCATCCCACAAACCATCAAAAGATTCCGATGCCAAGTGTGTTTTCGTTGGTAATGTTCCATATGAAATCGAAGAAGAAGAATTGTTTTTATTATTCAATACTACTTTTGGCGAAGTTTTAAGTGTACGTATCGTTCGTGATCAACACTCTAATATTGGTAAAGGTTTTGGTTATGTCAATTTCAACACAGAAAAAGCTGCTACCACCGCTATTGATGCAAAAACTTTGAAATTAGGTAACAGAGAAATTAGAATTTTCCCAACTAAACAAAATCCTAAAAAAGGTAAAACCATTAAAGAAAAAAAGAAATTAGAAAAGAGAATTCCATCAAAAAGAGTCGAAAAAACAAAATAAAACAGTATAAAAATAAAAATAAAAAATATAATTTTAAAATAAAAAAAAAAAAATATACCAATGGCTAAATAAATATTTATTAAATAGTTTTGTATTTATATTTTTAAATTAAATGTATATATGTTTATAAATAATAAAAAAAAAATATTTTATAGTATTTTTAAATAAATAAATAAAAAAAGGATCTATTAAACTTATTTTAATTTAATGTCTCTTTTTTTTCTTTTTTTTATTATTATTATTATGGTTTTTGTTATTATTACTATTATTGTTATTATTAATATTTGATGGTTGGTTAGACTCTGTCGAGTTACTCTCATCGTTATTATCGGAAATAGTTTCATTACAATTTTCTTCTTTAATATCTTGGTTATTCTCTTCTTCTTTAACATCGTCTTTGGGTTCTTCATTAACCTGTGTAGTTTCTTTATTTATGTCATCTGGTTTAACTCCATTTTCTAAATTGGTTTCCTTTTTCTCCTCTTGGACATTAATTATTTCGTTAGTTTCTTCATGTTGTTCATTATCTTTTTGACTAACCTCTTTATCTTGTTTAAATTCATCCTGTTTAATTTCACCTTGATTGGCTTCACCATGATCAGCTTCATCTTGCTTGATTTCATCTTGCTTGTTTTCGTCTTGTTTGATTTCATCTTGCTTGATTTCATCTTGTTTAGGTTCATCTTGTTTAGATTCATCCTGTTTAATCTCACCTTGGTTGGCTTCACCCTGATCAGTTTCATCTTGCTTGATTTCATCTTGCTTGGTTTCATTTTGTTTGATTTCTCCTTGCATGATTTCATCCTGTTTGATTTCATCTTGCTTGGTTTCACCTTCATATTGCTCAATTTTATCTTGTTTAATTTCGTCCACTTCTTTTAGATCACTGATAATATCTTGTCTAATTTCATTATTTTTTTCTTCTTTAAATTGAATATTCTCATCTTGTTTAATTTCTACAATCTCTTCTTTTGGTTTTTCTTTAGCCTTTTGCTCTTCTTTTAATTCTTTTTGTTCTTTTTTATTAAGAGGCTTTTTTAAATCTGAAAATGGGTTTTCATCAAAAACATTGTTGTTATCATTATTACCACTTTCAGTATTGTCCAATTTTAAATCTAATTTTCCATCAAAAACTGAACTAAATAAATCGAGTTTTTTACTGCCATTGCTATTATTATCATCGATTCTATATTCTAAAATATCACGTAGTGGTGAAGAGAGTCTACTTTTTGGTTTTGCTAAATTATTATTTTGTTTTGATGATTTGTTTCTATTATTCTCTTCATCAATTACCATTGCCAAAGGATGTGAGTGTGATGAAACATCAACTGGAGTAATTGTACGTGCTGGTGGAGTATTTGGAATTGAATAGGTCGAGGAGGTAGCTTGAAATTCGCCATTATAATTGCTGCTAATTTTATTTTCATATTCGTTATCTCCAAATTCGATTTCGCTGTCCAGTTTATTTTCATCTGCTATTTTAAATGATTTATCACTTGATAGTTGAATTGAATCGTCATCTGGATCTTTTTCGCCCAATAAAGCATAAATTTGACGCATTTTACTTGCTCTAACATCGTCACGAGCTCTTTCTAAAAATTGTTTTGCTTTGTTACATTGACTAGTCTCCTCGAACACCATTTCGACATTCCAAGTAGTTGGATGTGATGTTACCTTTAGAATGGATGGATCTCTGTGCGAAATTTCAATCTCTAATCTTTGTAATGGTGCAATATGAACAATGATACCATATAAACCTTTGTTGTTATGGCCACCAATAACTGTAATGTTTTGAGGTGGATTAATACCATTGCTACCTCCCAAAGGTGTGGAGACTGGATCAACCGCTAAAAGTAAATTGTGGAATAGAACACCAAATTGTTTATTCTTCTTTCTTGGGGTTGCAGTACCCAATGATGGTGGTGTGATGGATGGAGTTGGTTTTTCGTAATGATAGTATTCGATGATATCATAAAAGCTTTCTTCGCCACCAATATCTAAATTGAACCAAAACTTTTCTCTTACCATTGGAGTTGGTGGTTGTTTAAGTGGTAAAAGGTTATCCTTTTTACGAAGCAATGTGAATTTCAATTCCCTAAGTACTAAAAATTGTTGAATAGCCTTTTGGGTTCTTTCTAATTCGCCAGATGGCAAACGATGTGGTAAAGATAAACGGGTTACTAATTTCTCTGGGATTGGAAGAATGAGTGCAACATCATTTATTAATTGTTCAAATATAATTTGCTTATAGGTTTTGATCTCTTCCTCAAAAATTTCCAAAAATACATCTGATAATGGCCCTCTTAAAAAGTCCCTTAAATTATCGGTAACTGTAATATAAGCCTGTTCCAAAAGCAATGCTTGAGTCTCTGTAAGCTTGGATGATGAATCTGATGAATAGACCAACTCTTTTAAAATTAATAAGGTCATTTGTAAAGTTATTAACCTAAATTGATTACTTTTAACCAATACCATAAATAATGAATTGATTAGTTTTCTAGTGAAATCTTTTTGGCTTGATTCTGGTACTGGTATAAATGCCTCTTCCTCATCTGACTCTTCATTATTATTGCCACTATTATTATTGTTATTGTTATTATTATTAATATTATTACTATTTATACTATTACTTAAATTTATTTTATTTTTTAAATTTAAAATTTCTTTTTCTTTTTCATCACATTCGTCATTACCTTCATCAGTTTTTGTAGTTTCAATTTCTAACTCTCCAAACAATGATGATGATGTTGGTGATTGTTGTTTAAATATATTCTTTTCTTCTTTGACTGATTCGTAAATATTTGGATTGTATAATAAAGATTTTGTATATGATTCTGATCTTGATCTATTATGGCCAATATTAATTGGTAATGATGCTGACATCTTATTACTATTTATTTGCTTTTGTTTATTTTTAAATAACAATTGATTATTCTTTGTTGGTGATGTTGTTGAAATTATTAAATCTTGATTATTATTATTAATATTATTATTATTATTGTTGTTGTTGTTGTTGTTGTTGACAGATATATTGGTTTGTTCTGGTGATAATAAACTATCTAATAGTTTTTTTGCTTTTGCTAAACGATATGGTAAAATACCACCTCTTTCTAAAATTTTTGGGTCAATATTTTGATTCTTTAGAAATGAATACATCATTATAACTACACCAAATGTTTCCCTGTCGTTATTAATAAATTTTAATAATGACTCTTTAAATTCATTTCTATTAAATTTAAATCTTCTTTTTGTTAAATTGGAAACAATTTCATTTGATGTTGTATTTGTATTTGATGTATTATTATTGTTGCTACTATTATTATTATTACTATTATTAATTGGTGATGTTGAAACTGGTGAATTATTATCTTGATTAACCATTTCATTTGTTGAAATTTCTGAACTATTATCACCAAACACAACAATTGGTGGTGGTGATCCCTGTGGTGTTAAATTATTATTGTTGTTGCTATTACTATTACTATTGTTATCCTCTAAACTATTAACACTATTAACATTACTTTCAATAGAACTTGACAATTGTTGTGGTCTATTGCTATTATGTGCATTAATGGTATTGTTATTACTATTATTAACGGGTGGTGTAGTACCAGGTGTATTATTTAAATTACCAGTGGATTGTTGCAATGGTCTTCTAGTTGTACCAAATAATCTTGAAATATTATATTTTTTAGGGGTGTTTGGTGAAGAGGAAGCAGATGATATCATTGAAGATGAAGGCCTGAAACCGCTGTTTGGTGGTGAAATATCCTCGTCATCGGTGCTATTGATACCACCCAAGTCTGGATCAGAAATACTTTGTCCATTTTTTAAAGCCTCTAAAGATTCTAAATTTGGAAATGATGAGAATCTACGAATACTACTGTAGTGTCTGCGAGAAGTTCCAATCGATGATAATGGTGGGGGAGCACGGGTTTGGGTTGTAAATAATTGAGTTTGTGCAGGTGTAGCAGTAAGCAATGCACTCGATACAGTATCTAATAAAGGTTTATACGAAAAAATGTGGAATATTTGTGCCAATAAAAACAATGCTAATGTTGGAGTTAAACGATCCTCTAAGTCTGGGTTCTTTGATGGATCAATTAAACTGCCAATGAAAACTGGAAATATAAGATATTGAATAAATTGCTCTGCCAAAACTATGTTCATCGATTCAAATCCCAAATTAAAAATATCGTGCAAATAATAAAATTGATCGGTCAATTCATCAACATAGTTTTTTAAATGATTGATATTATCGTGACTGGATTTCTCTAAAATACCAGATAAATTTATGCAATGTCTTCTAATAAACCAAACAATATTTGAAAAATAGGGTACTGCTGTTGAATTTATAATGTATTCCCTCATTTCTTTGTTTTCGACTTTAAAAATAAATAAATAAAAAAGTTAGTATCAAATATATAATACCACTGTACCAAAACTATAACTATTGAATAATTACCTTTAAATATATTTAATGTTAATGTTCTAACTGCAATTCTAATCATAGTTTCTTTATTATTAATAAATTTAATAGCCTCGGTATATAATGGAAAATCTTTTTCATTATGATTAAAGAAAAAATTAACCGTATTCTTATCTAATTTTAATGATAATGCTTTTAAAAATGAAATATAATAATCTAGAACCTCCTCACTTGAAAAATCAAATTTGTGAATAATGATTTCATTTATATAATTATTTGATAATAAGAAATCTATAATAAAAAAAAAGAGATTAGTATATTATTTTTTAAAGTTTGTATTCCTCTATTAAATCTATATCTTACAGATTGAATTATCATTCCTTAAATTTTCTACTAAAATACTTAATGTTTGTAATAATTGAATTGTTACTTCATTAGATGTTTTCTGTGCTAAAAATGATAAAAAAAATCCCATTATATTCTTTTCAATAAAGAAGCTATAATAATTAAAAATAATAATATATTAGAATTTGTATTGATTATCCACTATTATTATTATTATTATGTATACATACTCAAAAAATAAAATATCGTGTTGATCACCCCAAATCATAACTTCTGCAATTTGCCTAAGGGTCTCTACTACTAAGCTTTTATTCTTTTGGTTTATAGTTTGGTTATTCTTTAAGGTATTGTGCAAATACCTTAAATTTTCAATTGAAAATTTATTTTTAGGTTTTAAAATTGATGAAAATATATTCATTTTATTTATTTATATATATATGGTTTTTTGAATATGTATTGTTGATAAGTTTTTTATTTTATATATAAGGTGTGTTTGTGTGTGGGCTATTAAGTGATAATGGGTTTATAATAAATAAATAAATAAATAAGTAATATAATAAATAACTATAAAATTTTGTTTTTTTTTTTTTTTTTATTCTTTTTTCATTGCGACACTATTTTATAAATATTAAATAACTATATCTATTTTATTTTTAATGATATGGTTTTTCTTTTTTTTTTTTTTAAAAAACTACTACAATTATTATAATATAATGTTATATTATTATTATTAATCTACTATTTAGCTTATTGCAACTATTATTTTATTTATGATATATAAATGTGTGTGTTTAAAATAATAGTACTATATATTTATTTATATTTATTTATTGTGTTTAATATATTTTATCTTGAAATACAACTAATAAAAAATAAAAATAAAATATAAAAAAAATAAAATTTAAAAAAAATTAAAAAAAAAAAAAAAAAAAAAAAATATATTACAATTTTTTTTTTATTTATTATTTATTTTTATTTATTATTTTTTTTATTTTATTTTTAAATATGATAGTTATTGATACTTAATTATTATTACTATTAATATTGATATTTTATAAGGGATATTGATCAAAATGGCAAGTCAAAATGGAGACTGCACCTAAATTAATGAGCTCTTCCTACTGCAAAAAAAAAAAATTATAAAAAAATTAAAAAAAATTAAAAAAATTAAAAAAATTAAAAAAATAAAAAAAAACAAAAAAAAAATAAATAAATATTTTTTTTCTTATTTAAAATATTCGGTGTTTAAATAAAAATATAGGAATTGTATTTTTTTACCATTTATAATCATATTTTTGTTTTATTATCATCTCGATCTTTCTTTTTTTTGT